TCTGCCATATCTTACAACATCATAGTCCATACCAGTATCTCTATACTCTGCCATATCTCACAACATCATATTCCATACCATTATCTCTATACTCTGCCATATCTTACAATATCATATTCCATACCAGTATCTGTATACTCTGCCATATCTTACAACATCATAGTCCATACCAGTATCTCTATACTTTGCCATATCTCACAACATCATATTCCATACCAATATCTCTATACTCTGCCATATCTTACAATATCATATTCCATTCCAGTATCTCTATACTCTGCCATATCTTACAACATCATAGTCCATACCAGTATCTCTATACTCTGCCATATCTCACAACATCATATTCCATACCATTATCTCTATACTCTGCCATATCTTACAATATCATATTCCATACCAGTATCTGTATACTCTGCCATATCTTACAACATCATAGTCCATACCAGTATCTCTATACTTTGCCATATCTCACAACATCATATTCCATACCAATATCTCTATACTCTGCCATATCTTACAATATCATATTCCATACCCAACATCATATTCCATACCAGTATCTCTGTACTCTGCCACACCTTACAAGTACATGTACTCATGTACATGAATGCTTCACCTCCACAGGCCCGTGGCAGAACCTGGACCGTGGTGACGTCATCAACGTGGTTAGCAGATCTCAGTACAGGGACCTGATGGTGGCGGGAGATAACCGTGGTCGTCTGCGCCTGTACAAGTGGCCATGTTCTTTGCAGAAGGTGAGTGGCGCTGACTCTGTTAGCTCGTCTGTGTGTTTCTTTTTTTGTTTGTCTGTGTGTTTGTTTGTTTTATTTTTTATATGTTTGTCTGTTTGTTTGCTCTCTGTCCTTATTTTTAGTTTTGTTCAGGCTGTTTCTCACAACAGCTATCTTTTCCCGGTCTTCCTTGTTGTTGCTTCTGTGCGTATGTCATATTTGTGAGTGTGTGAGAAAAAGAAATGGAAGAAAATATGTGCTTATAAAACGAAACAAGAACACTCTCAAATACGCATGCACACAAACAAACACGCATAAATATGTACAAACACACAAACACGGTTGGCGTGCGCTCTGGTGTGTTTTACTCCTTCTTTCGAAGACAATAATTATCAACAGTCCATATCCCGTTTCTTTCTTTTCTTTGTATGTTCCTTTCTAGTGACACCTCTAATCTTTGGCGCTTATATAATGTCACATATTTCATTTGCATTGCAATTGCTGTAAAACTCTTACTGAAAAACTAAAACGAAGTCACAAGCACTGACAAATAAAACACTTACCCATGTCCACCATACCCTCCCTCAGGCTGGCTTCCGGAACACCAAGACCTACTCGTCGAACGTGACCTGCGCCAGCTTCTCCTGCGACGACAGTAGCGTCATCACTTCCGGCGGAAATGACGCAGCACTCATGCAGTTTTCCGTCCTTGACCCTGTAAATACACGATAAGCCTAGTCGACGAAAAACAATGCGGCTCTCATCGGATAGATCTGTTATCGACTTGAATATTTCGGCTTGCATGTCTACATTTTTTTCCATGTATATTGTCTTAATGACAGAATTAGTCTCTTTTTTTATTATTTTTGTTACGATAAAGTCTATACCTTTT